ATATTATATACATATACAAACGTCTTGCAGGGCAGTGTCGGACCATCATATTTGTCGTATTATAGAGTGCTGCTTAAGGGTCCTCTGCTTATAGTCCGGAATTTTTTACAAAAGAGTATCTTGTAATCCGACAAATTACAGATCCAGTGATAAGATTCTATGTTATATATGTATGTATGTATATGCACTCTGAAGTATATTGTCAAAGTAATATTCAATAACAAATAATAGACAATGTCGGATTACAAGGGGGGCCGGATTACCGCGGGTCCACTGTAATTGTAATATGAAGTCTGTACGTAATATTGAAATAATTGTTTTTTACTACATGCATATAAATATAAATATACATACACTAAAATATTTTTTTTTACCATTTTTCTGTCTGTCTGTCTGTTTGTTCCGGCTAATCTCTAAAATGGCTGGGCCGATTTTGACGGGACTTTTAATTTATTTTGTCTGTCTGTCTGTTTATTCCGGGTAATCTCTGAAATGGCTCTAGACCAATTTTGACGGGACTTGTTTTGGCAGGTAGCTAATGTAATAAGGAGTAACTTAGGCTACTTTTATTTTAGAAAAATAAAGTTAAATTGCAAGCGGACAATGTCGTGTGTACAGTTAGCCGCATGCCAGTTTGTCCCCTGTGTTAAAAAAAAAACATTTATTTAACTTGTATTGACCAGTGAGGGTCCTAGTCATGATGCATATATTGTTTTTACTCATTAGTATTAAGCTAATTAATAGACTATTGGTTAAGTAGTTAGTAGAATCTAACAATAAATGAGAACCCAACCTATTCTAATGCAGTTGGCCACTGGTCTTTACAGATCCACTGAACCATAGGTGGTAAGTGCCGATGGCACTGCACGCCCGCAGAAGGATTTATGGAGCCACTGAAGCAACTCCCTGCCTGACGGATGCAAGAAAGAAAAAAATATTCTTTGATAGAAAGAAAGAAAGAAAAATATTTTATTCAGTGCAATGTAAAAAATACAATATAAACAACAAACGAAAAAAAAAGACCAAATAAAATGTACATATAATAAAACTTAATTTACCATGTTGATAAATAAAAAATAAACATAAAATAATCATTTTTACATCCATATATACATAACATTTAAACAAAATCAATATCTAACATTAAATGAGAATCCCGTGTATGAACAACTATTGCCACATACGTTTGTCATTAAGTAGATAATCGTTTAGTAAGTAATAAGTTTTGCTTTATTATAAATTACATCACGTTTATATTCTTAAGATGAGGTGGGTAGACCATTAAAATATATAATAGCGAGTGTAAAACCTTATAAGGATTAACGGAACATAATACAGGGTCATCTTAAAACGTCTCACTGTCATGCATCCACAAGATAATCCACGTATAGTGTTGCTTAACCTCAATGATTTAACCGTGACAAGAGAGCAGTGTTCCAACTTTCATGCTATTAATAAAATCTTTTGTACAATACATTGTGAAATAGTGTAATGCCCTTTGAAGCAGGGAATTGATCAAATCAAATTAAATAATTTATTTACAGAATACAGTAGTTATAGGTTTAAAGAAAGTATTTTTTTTCGGACTACTCTAATGCTGTTGGCTGCAGCTGGCCTTTACAGCTTCACCGGACGATAGGGGGCGAGTGCAGATGGCACTCCAAACCAGAATAAGGACTTATGGAGCGGCTGAAGGCCAACTGTCGTCTGACGGATACGACTTTAGTCTGAGGGCACCGCTAGGGTTTCGAAACTCGGCTGAGGCCGTCGTAATATCGATCCCCGTTTGAATTGGACGGAGGATCGATCGGGGAGGGGACCTTTATATAGTGGATGTATGAAGAGGTAGAAGACGGCGATAAAAACAATGGATGGATTGTGTGAAAGATAAATAACCTTGGACAATTAACACAGCGCCATCTAGTCCCACGGTAAGCAGAGCTTGTGTTATAGGTATTAGACAACTGATATGAAAACTTAGATTTTTTTGTAAATACATACATAATATACATAGAAAACATCCAGACCGATACAAACAATCATACTGATAAATACAAATGTTTCAATGGGGAATTCAACCCGCGACCGTCGGACGTAAAGCGGTGTGCTAAACCGCTAGACCACTGAGGTCGTCAAAAGATTATATGGTATACAAGGAAAGTCACCTCCGATAGGGATCAGTGGAAGAGAATGACATATTGCGCTGACCACAAATAATGGGATAAAGGCAAGGAAATTATGATTATATATGAATGTGGTTTTAAGAGCAGAGGAAGTTCGAAAAAGAGATGAATGGACTGGGTGAAAGATATGACAAGAAAGGGAGTAAATAAATGGAGGATGAATGTAAGATAGATAGATAAATTCTTTATTCACAATTACATACACATAACATACATGAGATACAGAAAAAACACGAATTAATAAAAGAAATGTAGATGACTTTATGTGCTGCAAAAGTGAAAAGGTAGCCAACTCAGCATAATGCTACAGATAACTCTGCAGCGCTGATATTCTGTTAGCTCCTTACATATACTATACTTATTACTAAAAAAAAATTACATAAATATTAAACATCGAGCTCTTTATCAAAATATATAAAGTATGAATAAACTGTAAATAATGTGATGAATTATATTATTAAAGTACTGAAGAGAAAAATATATTACGACGACCACAAATAAATGGGATAAGGGTGAAGCAAATGATGTAATATAATGTTTAGAGTGTTCAATCTGCATATCTGCATACAGACGAACAAATTTTAATATATTATTATGTTCATGTCGTTCTAATGTGTCTATAATAATTAAATTAAAATAGCAAATACTTATATAGTTGAAAATTAAATGTATATGTCAGTACGTGAAGCAGAAACTTTGTACCCCTTTTTCCGACAATTGCTCGGACGGAAGTGTATGAAATTTCGCACACTTATAGTTTAGAGCAGTGATTCCCAAAAGTGGTCTATGTCGACCCCTAGGGGTCTATGACAAACTGCAAGGGGTCTACGACAGCTGTCATCTTGTTGTTTTTAACACTAAACTTTACTATAGTTAGAAATTTACAAAAAATCAATACCAGGTAAGAATGGGGGGTCTACCCAAAACCGAAAAATATGGCAAGGGGTCTACGACACAAAAAAGTTTGGGAACCTCTGGTTTAGAGTGAAAAATGCAATTTTTTTTAAATTATATATTAAAAAAAAAATCTCTACTATCTTGCTTATTTTATGTAGGTGTATCCGCGGACATAGCTTGTGTTTAATACATTTCTCCTGTAAATGCTGTTTTTAGGATCCTCCTTGTTCCGGACCACCGCTTAAAGATTATATATAGTCATAGTTTGTAGAAATAAGTTCGATTAGATATAGCAAATTTATAAATAGTACAATTGTTACATAGTAACACCTTAAGATTAATAGATTTGATAGGGATAAGTTTATAGAAATTTAAGTTCTTTATGTTATTATTTACAAAAATGCTTGACAAATAAATGATTATAATGGTTGTGGTTTCAATCCCTAAAAAAATAAATAGGTCGGCAAATAGAAACAGAATAGAATATAGTATAAAAAATAGATCCCAAAATACATAGGGATCTTTTTATAGTATCATTTCATTTGTAGATATGTAATAATAATTGTAATGTGCGTTGCGCGGCAGCATTCGTTCGACTGACGCGCGACCTCGCTCTCCCGCGCTATATATATATGAGGGGAAGGGAGCGAGGTCATATAAAAGGCGCGATCCGCGAAATCGCAATTATTCCTAAACCGCACGTCGCGCAGCGCACACATCATAATAGAAATGTAAATTAAAGATGGTATTGTCGTTTGATGCACAAATTGTAAACACAAAATGTAAGATTGATAAAATATAATAAAAATTATATAAAGGGGTGAGGAGAATAGGGCGGCCAGGGTCCGCTGGCTAGTAGCCGAAAATCGTATATAAGTAGCGTCCAAAAGCGCTACAAATCGATTCCGCTGACCGACGCGCTAGCGAACGCACGTATGTGCTCGCTAGTCCCGCCGCCGTCTCGCTGTTCTCTGCTCCCTCGAGCAAACCACCGCGCGCGCGCACGTAGCGCAGTTACGTTCGCGCGTTCTTATTCATATACTTCGCCGCGTGTTAGGTGCACTCGGTGCACCTAGCGTGGCCCGGGGCCTCCGTGTCCCGCGCCGACCGCGGCCGACCGCGCTCTCGGCATCCGTTCCGACACAGTGCTACCGGACTTTCCGCGTGTGTAGTGTTGTGTTGTGAGGACTGAAGGAGAAACTCTCTTCGTTCAAGTGAAGTGAAGTGTTGTGTGTGGACGTTCAGTGGCACGGACTGTCGTGAGTTAGGGAGGTGCGTCACGCCTATTGCGCGACGCGCCGATCCGAGCCGCCGCCGCTGCCACCAACACCCGCCGACGCCTGCTGCCTGCCGCCCGCCGCCGACGCCACCAAGTAGGTTCGCTTAGGTACATTTTTCACTCAATAAGATTAGTGATCTTACATATTAGGGTCACATATCAATAGGCACTCACCCCCCTGCCTCACCCGGCAGGAGGCCCCCCTGACACCGTCGGTTGCACCCGCCGACGACCGTCCTTATCTTAAGTACTGACTTACCCTCTTGTTTCATTGTATTGTATTGTTATTGTGTTGTATTGTTATTGTATTGTTTTATATTACTATTTCTACTCTTATTCTATTCTTTTGAACAGTGGTAATTAACATTACCACTGTTAAAAAAAAAAAATGTCCTTATCAGAGGCCGATATGCCTCTGTTCTTCCAGTTCCTGGAAAAAAAGTGTCCCGGCATCTTAAATGCTTTTATAGCATTCAAAGCCGCCAAGCCCGTCCACTTAGTGTACAGCTCGCCCCCGCGTCCCCAATGATGACTCACACTGACGAACCGAACACTGACACTGACGAATTCGAGGACGACTCGCAACGGCTCCCGCCGCTTCCCCGACCCAAGCCGACCAGGCCGAACCCGCCTCGCCCGCCATGGAGCAGGACGACTCCGTCGCGGAGCTTGACGCACCTAGTATGGAGCTCGACACCATCCGCGACGGCGACGTCCCCTCTCTCCATCCCCGGTCTCCTCAGACGAGGACGATTTTATTCTTGTTGGCAACAAGCGTGCCAAGAAGACCCAGGGCTCCCAGCCAGCCAAAACAAAGCGTGCCCATGACGGCACCGCTAAACCGCCCCCGGTCCGAGTGCACGCAAGTCGCACCCCGAGACCAAAGCCCCGCCCCCCGTCATCATCCAGGACAAAATTGCCTGGAACACCGTATCCAATATGCTTAAAAACAAGCATATCAATTTCAGCCATGCTAAGGCTACCTCAATAGGGATCAAAGTATCAGTCCCATCATCTGACGACCATCGTCGTCTCACCACCTTCCTGCGGGAGAAAAACATAGGTTATCACACCTATGCTCTCGAGAGAGAAAAACTCCGCGTTGTAATACGCGGTTTACCCAAGAGCTCTCAACAGACTCCATCCTTGAGGACCTTCAGTCCCAGAATTACCCAGCGCACGAGGTACATCGTATGTACCAGTCGCGCTCACGCAACAAGGCCGCTATCGACCTTGTTCTAGTCGTATTAGATTTATCCCCAGAAGGCAAATCGATCTTTGATATAAAGAGCGTTTGCCAACTATCCTCGCTCTCCGTAGAGGCGCCTCGCAAGCGTACCTACCCCGGACAATGCCACCGTTGTCAGAACTACGGCACTCTGCCCGTAATTGTTTCGCTCGCCCACGGTGCGTCAAGTGCCTAGGCGATCACGCCACCGCAGATTGCGGCCGTAGGCCCAACACCCCCACGCCCCCCAGTTGCACCCTCTGCCTCACAGAGGGTCACACCGCGAATTACCGCGGTTGTTCACGCGCCCCACGTCCCGCCAAAAAGAAGGCCACCCACACACAGGGCAACCGTGCTCCGGCACGTGCCCCCGCCAAGGCTCCAAACACAACCCGAGCCACTCGTACCCGCCCCTCTGCCTGCTAACAATGCCTGGATTAAACCCCCGGCAATTGTAAGCAAGGTAGCACCCAACCCGCCCGCCCAGAAAGCCCCGCCCGCCCAGTCGCCCCCGCCCGTCCAATCGGCCCCGCCCATGCCCATACACAAACCCGTCCCCAAACCACTGCCCGCGGCCCCCAAGGCCAACGGCAGCTCCCTCGCGCAGGACTTCGCATTGGTCGCTCGCTTAGCCAGCACCATCGACCCTAACGAGATTGCCCTTCTGGCCTCCAAGCTCCGCCTGTATAAGGAGTCGCCCCAAAATAGGCTCGCAGCCGTCTGCGAGCACATCGGCGTACTTACCGCCATCCTCAATTTTAACCTGTAATTATGGGTACTCGAGCTCAGAGAGAAAAGCCTCGGTCCGTTCGAATAGCGTTTTTAACGCGTTCGGATTAAAAAAACAAAAGGAGGAAATCGCCTCCTTTCTCACTGACCACCAAGTCGATATTCTCCTCGTGCAGGAGACCCTACTGAAACGTTCAGTCCGCGATCCTAGAATCGCCAATTACAACTTAGTTAGGAACGACCGCACCGCCTGTAGAGGCGTCGGTACGCTCATATACTATAAACGGTCCCTACACTGTATACCGCTACAAACACCGCCTCTCACTCATATGGAGGCCTCCGTCTGTCTTCTCGGCATGACCGGCCACCGACCGCTCGCCGTGGCATCCGTATATCAGCCTCCCGGCAAACTACTGCTGGAAAGCGACCTACGCGCCCTCCTAGATATCAACAGCGCCACCATTCTGGCTGGCGATTTGAATTGTAAACACACCCGCTGGAACTGCCACGTGTCCACGACAAACGGCCACAAACTAGACAGACTAGCCGACTCGCTCGAATTCGAGATAATCGCCCCGCTCCGCCCTACTCATTATCCCCATAACGTGAACCACCGACCCGACATACTGGACATGGCACTGCTGAGGAACGTAACCCTACGGGTGAGCTCCCCAGAAGTCCATGCCGAGTTTAACTCGGACCATCGACCGGTAACCCTCCTTCTGGGCCCTCCGCCCGACACGCCACTACCAACCAAAACAATAACAGACTGGCAACGACTCGAGAAATCTCTCGAATCGACCGACACACCGATACTAAACCGTATTCCCGACGTCATAGAGTCCACCGAGGACACTCTCATTGCGATCGACTCGCTTACTAACCACCTGCAGTCGGCAGTCAAGGACTGCTCCAGGGAGGTACCGGCGACGGACGACCGTCGCTGGCAGCTCCCCGATGACGTAAGGAGGTTAATAAGCGATAAGAACACAACCACTAAACGTACGATCGCTACCCCTCCGAACCGAACCGGGTGCGCCTGCGAGCCTTACAGCGTAGCGTTAGGAGCGCATCGCGCAGATCCGGGACGGTCGGTAGGGCAAGCTCCTAGAAGAGATAACGCCATGCCACACCGCGTACTGGCGCATAGCGAAATCTCTCAAAACCGACCAACAGACAAACGACATGCCCCCGCTAGTCCGACCCGACAACACTATAGCCTTCTTCGACGAAGACAAGGCTGAGTGTCTAGCGTCCAACTTAGAAGCCCAATGCTCCCCCAGCACGCTCCCAGTCGAGGCAGGTCATCTCGAGAAGATAGACACCGAAGTCGAACGCATCGCGTCCACCCCGCCCACCGAATCCCTCTCACCAGTCACGCTTGATGAGGTCAAAACGCTAGTTAAACAACTACCTATCAAAAAATCACCCGGCTCAGACGGCATATCGAATAGATTAGTCAAAAGTCTGCCATCCCAACTTTTGTTATTACTCGTCGCTATTTTTAACGCGGCGCTGTCCAACGCTATATTTCCAGACAGCTGGAAAGAAGCCGTGGTCATTGGCATCCCCAAGCCCGGTAAAAATAAATCCGACCCGTCCAGTTATCGTCCTATCAGCCTCCTCAAGGCTATAGGCAAGCTGTACGAGCGAATCCTCCTCGCCCGCCTAAAGGAGTTTATATACTCCAAAGGCCTGCTCATCAATGAGCAGTTTGGCTTCCGAGCCAAACACTCATGCGTCCATCAAGTGCACCGCATCACGGAGCACATTCACAAAAACACTCTGTACTTCGCCACCAAGTCCCCCAAAGGCGGTACAGGCGTCCTATTTTTCGATGTGGCTAAGGCTTTCGATAAAGTCTGGCACAACGCTAGATTTACAAGCTTCATCAGTTAGGTGTCCCCGACAGGCTAGTACTCATTGTACGAGATTTCCTGTCGAATCGCTCTTATCGCTACCGTATAAACGGAGCGTTATCCGACCCGCACCCCATACGAGCCGGCGTCCCTCAGGGCGCCGTCCTCTCCCCGATGCTCTACTCGTTGTACACCAACGACATCCCCAAATTCTCCGACTTAAAAGTCGAAATATCGCTGTTTGCCGATGACACGGCTCTCTTTACATCCGCCAAGTCCCGTGCGACAATAGCCAGACGGCTTCAGAAAGCCGTAACGATACTGGGCGAATGGTTCCGTCGGTGGCGCATAGAAGTCAATCCCGAAAAAAGTGCAGCAGTGTACTTTAGCAGGGAATTCGACTCTATGAATCACCCGATCGAACTATTCGGCCAAAACATCCCGTGGGTTTCGAAAACGAAATATCTCGGCGTCACCCTAGATAGGAAACTAACGTTTCGTCCTCACATCAAGCGTGTCCGCGACCGAGCCGCCTTTATACTAGGGCGACTCTATCCTTTTATTAACAAGCACAGTAAAATGTCGCTTCGCAACAAGCTGACATTATACAAGGCTTGCATCCGTCCATCATGACCTACGCTAGTCCCGTATTCGCCCACATACCCTACTGCTTAATCAACAGACTGCAGGTCATTCAGAATAGGTTTCTGCGTCGAGCCACCGGTGCGCCGTGGTTCGTTCGCAGCGTAGATCTCCACCGCGATCTTAATCTGCCCTCCATCAAGCAGTTTATGAAGGAAGCGTCTCGACGCTACTTCGACTCTGCCCAATCCCACCGTAATCCGCTTATAGTCAGTGCGGTCGACTACGCACCGAGGAGTAATATCCGACATACGCGACAACGTCGCCCGAGGCACGTTCTCATTGACCCCGACGACCCCATAACGGCAGGTAACCTCCCCACGGGCCCACCCGTTCCACCCCGACCACACTTTTACACACACACACGACACCGTCCTCGCCGGCGAAGACGACGACCTCAAACACACAATATCGCGCATTCAACCGGGCGCCTGCGCGCGCCCGGGCGCACCACACCGGCGCCCCCGGGCGCCCCTCCGATCGATCCCCCGTCCAATTCAAACGGGGATCGAAATTACGACGGGCTGAGCCGAGGTTCGAACCCCTAGTGGTGCCCTCAGACTAAAGTCGTATCCGTCGGGCAGGAGTTGGCCTTCAGCCGCTCCATAAGTCCTTCCGCGGGTTTGGAGTGCCATCTGCACTCGCCCCATAACGTCCGGTGAAGCTGTAAAGGCCAGCTACGGCCAACAGCATTAGAGTAGTCCGAAAAAAAAAAAAAAAAAAAAAAAAAAAAAAAAAAAAAAAAAAAAAAAAAAACGCTACAAATCATAGCGAATTCAACCTCTGAATAGCGACATTGATCTTCGGATAGCGAAATCGACCTGAAAAGGAATCAACCACTGAAGAAATTCTCCTCGCCTCTGCATTCTGAACCACAAGAACCGTTTTCTCATTCACTGCCCGTCCATCATCGCCGTCGTTAAGTATAGTCATCACAATCCTCTTCACGCATCGTGTCATCGCATCGTGTCACCGTCGCATCAGCATCGTTTAAACGTCCTTCTCAGGACGAATCATCGTGGTGCCTATAAAAAGGCACCTGGTCCTTCACCCGCAACGCGCCCGCGGCGTTGATTGAGGCCCTTCAGGTAGGGAGTGCTTTGAAAAGGGCACTCTCTCACCTCGAGGAGGATAGATTGACGTCCGGGCGTACCAGCGACTCGGTGCCTGCCGACGCGCCTTCCGACTCCCGGGGGCAGCGGCCAGCACACTACTAACACAATCGGCTCATCCGTCATACTCGTGAACGGGTGCTGCTTGTGGGAACTGGTCTGTTCAGGTTACGAACACTGATTAGACTATTTGCTTTTGCAATAGCATATGCTGGTGGTCACTCTATTCTCCTAAATTTAAATTTAATAATGTATCTGTATTATTGTAAACATGTACAACATTTATTTGAAAAGAATACGAGCTGAGTTTCTTATCAGTTCTTCTCATCTCGAAATCATTCCAAACTGACGGTAGATTTGACATATCATAAGAGTCTGTGATAGACCTACATGAATAAAGATATTTCTGAATTTGAATTTGAACAATCTCAAAAGTGACTATTCATTCGTATGTATAAATATAT